TTATCAACGTTCTATCAATTCAATATCAGTTGTTGTAGAAACAGCCAAGAGACATTTACTTACGGGTTGAAAACCTCGTCCTCATCCTCGTCTCCGGCCAGAAGGTCAACGGAGCCGAAACCAAACACACCTTGTTCTGGACTCATCAAAATGCTCTTTCCAGTACGATTTGTATCTGGACAGGGAAAAACATTTTTTCAGGATTTCTCTGCTTCCATTTTCTCCGTGACAGTGAGATTCTCTTTAATGAACAATAGCCATGCATTAAAAAGTCTTGAATGAATCCAGCAGAATTTTGCATTATTTGATGAGTTACATTAGTTAAGTTCAAATCTGATCTTAATGTTGCTGGATAATATGCTATCAATAAAAACAACACCTAATGTAATACTATTCCTTCAATAAGGATATTGGGAAAAATCTTGTTGCTGCAACAAAACAACACAGATGCAAGTAAAGACAGCAACAGTGAGAATCATATATTAAAGCTGCTTACAGAATCAACATTAATTCTGACTTTCTTAGAAGGGAATGGTTACGACTCGTACTGGCTCTGTTTTATAACAACTACTTCACACATGCAGCACACAACCCGATATGGTCATTATCATATGTGTTCTCAGCTGTCCCGTCGCTCAATATGAATTCTCAAGACAATTACAATCTTTTGTCACAGGTTGTCTCAAGTGAACATTACACAACGTTTAAGTTCTGGAGCTAACAGGGTAAATATCCAGTTGCCCTGATTCAGATATTTGTATTCATACATACAGAGCTCCTCCAAGTAATGTATAGAAAAGTCCAGAGTTGCGGTGCATGTGTGAAAGCAGCGCGAGTCTGTTACCAGTAAAAGAGATACAAACTGTCAGCTCACCACATTAATACGAGCTGAGCAGTTCAAGAGACTCATGCAGTCCTTTTTATTTGATGCACTTCCAGTGGGAATTTACCACAAGCCACCAGAAAGATGCTGACACATTTATGCTGTGGCCAGTTTACACCCCCGATCACTTTCATCACAAGGAGGAAAGAAAACAAGCTTAAAAGAGAGGTGGTCAGGACCTTTCCCAAAGTGGATAAAAGAGCAGTTTAAGTGCTGAGTGCAATTTCAATGTCCCATCTTTTCCTTTTTTCTGTTTTCATCAAGTCCAGATTGTTTAAACTTGTAACAGTAGCTGCACTCACTCTCTTTGCTGGGTGTGAGGAAACGCACAATGGGCGAGTAAATGTTTCTGGCTGTTGAGTTGCACGGAGACCCCGGGTCGATCTCGGACAGTATGCGCTCGTGGCGCAGGATGGGTCTGACCGGAGTCTTGAAGGCCAAATCTAGACCAGAAAGAGACGAGCAGTCAGAGAGGCACAAGAGCAGAAAACAGTGTAATTCATGTTCTGAAAATTTTTTATGGAATTATCCTTGAGAAAAACTGGACGCTACAAACCTGTTTCTCTGTCCTCAACAGCGATGGCCCTCTTCCTTGCTCGGCCGCGAGGCAGCCGCCGCCTCATCATTGTGGGAACTTCATCATCTGAGTGGTGGGATTCTTTATCCAGAGTCTCTTCTACCTACAAAAAAAGAGCATTTCATTACAAAAAAAAACAACTGATGAGTCAATTCCATTTAACCAGCGTGTTTGAATTTGGATGTAAAGTAAAGTTGTGAAGATAAACACAATTCTGATCTTTTACTGGGATTTAACAGCAGTATTTATAAAACTTTATTTCAAAACGTGGCTATGCCAGAAGACAAACTGTTATGATGTGCAACTATTCAAGCCTCAAAACATGAGAAAGAATCACTAGTAATCATGTTGAGGCTTTTATTGTTAATTATTTTTTAGTCATACAAGTGAGACCAAATATTTAAATGATGCAACTTTTAACATTCAAGCTCTATCAAACTCCAATAACCCAAATCCCATTTTATAGCTATTTCCAACTGTTAATTTGGTTTCCATGTCCTCTGTTGAGATATAACTCAAATCACATTAAGGCAGGGTTTCAAACTGTTAATCTGATCAAAACCAGAAAAGTGTGATTGTTTGGATGGTTTCACACCAAAATACCACAAATGTTGCCCTCAAAAGATCTTTTATCCTGGAGATTAATGCACATTGAAGTCGTCCCACTTCTCTACAGCTGTGGAAATGGTCAGAACAACTCACAACAGGATACTTTAAAACAGACAAAAAGCAACATGCATACAGGATTGAGCTATCATTTAAATTCAAAACAGACACAGAAGACAAAGGTCTAACTAAACAAAGCTGAACCATTTCAGACTTGAAATGTGTGCTGGAAGGAAAGGGGGCAAACAGGAAATATAACAGGAATCACAGACAGGTTTACATTATATATCTATTTATTGTATTTGACTTGCTGTTGCTCAAAAGAAACCAAACTACCACAGAGATGCACTGCTCTGGTCTGAATGTTAACAGTCAGCATGAGTGTGTCTTGGTGACCTACTTTTACTGGGACCCTCTCTTACATACAACTGGTCTGTTTAATCCCCAGCTTCAAACTTCCGTCAGACACCACGTCACAGCGTTGTATACTCTGAACCTCACAAACCCTTACAGGGATGTACTGCCGCCATAAACACAGACAGAGCTTAAACACTGACACCAAGGCTGATCTGTTGCCTAGTGACGAGCATGACTGGTTTACTTCGTTTAATTAATCAGTACAAGCTCTGATCTCTAGTTTATAAATGGATTGAATTAATGAATTCGTTTCAAGTTATTATTCAAGCATAAATACATAAAACCCTTGTTTGTAGCCACTAAATATTGTTGTACGTAGAGTATCAGTCCATTAAAGACTGTTGCTTTGAAACATCTGAAGCTGCCACCACGGAAACAAGGATGAATATTTTACTGACATAGTAACAAATGAGGAAAATGATCAGAAGACTAATTGACAAGGAGTTATTGTTAGATGAGGCCTTATTTGCAACTCAACGAGGTACAAATTTGATTCATATAATAAGATTTTAGCCCCTTATTTAAATATGATAATCCTTCACTAGTCCCACAACAGGACAATTAGCTGTGTTGCAGCAGCACAGGGGACAGTCAATAATAGACATCAGTTCAAGTAAAATAAGTAAATGTTACAATAGAAACACTATATATACACACACACACACATATATATATATATACACAGAACAACAGGATTGCACATTAGCAATTACCTGCAATTCGACAGCATAACGAAATACGACCTTCAAAATGACAATTAACTTTCCTGGAGGTAGAATTCAATGTGAGCTGCTTTAGCATTTAGCTAACTATACTTCAATATATATTAATATTTCAAAATAAGACCAGGTCAAACAAGCAGGTACAGAGTGACGTTATGATTAAATGTAAAGTATGGTAGTTATGGATTAAACGGTATTTGAGAACAGAAAGCATATGAGACCTGTTAGGTTATTTAACATAACTTTAATTCAACAGTTTCCGGTTAAATATGAATGTATTGTTGTACCAGTGATGAAAAAGCCTCCTTCAGTCCAGACACGGCTCCATCACAACAGCGAGCTAACGCTAGCTGCTACTGGTCCGTGATGGGAGCGCTAGCTAGCTAGCGTCCGGCTAACTAGCATCGTAGCAGCCAAGCGACCGTCTACGCTCCTGAATCTGAGGCACGACGGACAGCTTTAATACCGACCGGGTTAGCGACGGATAAAAGAACCGTAACACTCATCGTTCGTTACCTTGGTCTGCTGCGGGCTCTCGGGCACCGCCGGGCGGACTCGTCTCGGCGTCGCTTTGACGGACGGACGGCGGTTGGTGCTCGGAGTGTCCGAAGAGGTCGTTTTGTGAGACCTGAGTCTCATCTTCCTTCTTCATACGAGAGTGTAAAGCATTAAAAAGCCAAAGCTCCTCCACAGAGTCGGGCTCCCGTTAACACAGCTGCTGCCTCTTTTTGTTTGTTTTATTCCACTCCACCAGGCTTCCGTGGTTTCAAGAGTCGACTCCGCCCGCCCCGATCAGCCCCGCGTCCTCTGGAACCACTGTTTAAATCTGCCGGGGTGCGATAGGTTCACCGCTGCGGACACGTTCAGAGGGCGGTGCTTCACGAAATTCAAGCGTCAACGTGAGACTCGAGTCACGTTCATGGATCACGTTGCAGGACAAAGACCAATGTGGGTCAATTTAAAATCCTGTGTGAGAGGATGGTTTCATTCAGTTTGGAGCGTTTACAGGCTAATTCACATTTAAATCCAAAGCTATAGAAAGGTGTCACGTCAGTTTGAAAAAAGAATAAGATCTAAAGCCCAAAACACAGAAACCTTCTTTAAATGTAGTTTCCCATTAAAGGTTCAGTGTGTAGAATGTAGTTGCGGCTGAATACCCCTCACCTCACCCTCCCCTTCCAAACATGAAGGAGAACCTGTGGAAACCTTCAGTCGTCATAAAAACTCAGGTTTAGTTTGGGCCACTGTAAAAAAACAACATGGCGGCCTCCGTAGAGAAGACCCGCTCCTGATATATAAAGTATTTCAATATAAAGGCCCATTCTAGGGTAAAGAAAACAACAATTTATAAGAAACACACTATTGAAAACATCACTAGGATTATTTTATATTCATCTTCAATAGATCAATTTCACCTAAATCTTACACACTGGACCTTTAAAACATTTTAAATATCAAATACATAATAAGATTGAGTACTTCCACTTCCTAACCCTTAGTTAATACTTCTATTGCACTGGATTTGATGATTTTAAAAGACATGATACTTTGTAATAAATTATAAGATCCTGCGCACAGAAGCTTATCTTAACTATAAACGATAATAAGAGTGATAAGGTTTAAGTGCTTAGTTACTTTGTAAAGACAACATAAATGTGAACAATAACATATTGAACATTTAAAGACCAGGATCAGCTAATGAATTCAAATAGAGGGAACATGTTTTTGAACATACTGATTACCAGGTTTACTATCTTAGCTCAACATCCATAAAAAAAACCCATCAGAATCTCTGTTGACATTTAAGAAAGGTGATATTTTATTAATTTCAGATTCAAAGTAAAAGTATTCACACAAACACATATTGAGTAAATATATGTGTAGAAGAATAGCTTTTCACCCTTCAAAAAATCCAAAAGAAAAAAAGAATAAAACAAAAACAAAACAGTTGCATTACCCGCCGCCACTTCACTGTTACCGTGGTTACCGGGAAACATCTCATTCATCAAAAAGAAAGTGATCATTTATAGAAAAAGGAGAAATAAACACACATTAACAGACTGAGAAATGACTTGCAGTACTAACAGTGGTACTCAAAGCAGTACTTGCTGTAGCACTAGTAGTATTAAGCTGTTGAGCTGGAGGTTCACTGTTGTTGGTGCTTAAATAAACGGAACAGCAGAAGTGTTAAGAACCTGTAACACAGAGAGAAGGAGAGGGACAGAGAAAAACACCTCAGGGTCCAAAATCAGCCTTTTATTCACCAACCAGGGTGAAAAAAATACCCACTGAGGATATTTAGATATTCATATTCAGCCAATGTAATATTATAAACACACCAGAGTTTTTTCCTCAATACAATCTCTATGTTACAGTTCATTTCGGACCCTGGCGTCGACCCTCACGCCCTCCTTGTGTACCCACTACACTGTAACTAGAGCCCTCACTGGGTTAAATGCATCAAACTGGAGACAGAGGTAGATTTTCCTGAGAAGTTGTAAGAGACAAAAACACAGAGCCTTGTTTCAGTTCTGAAGTTGACGCAGAGACACACGAAGCACGCACGCACGCACGTAAGCACACACAGTCACACACGATTACGTCACACGCTTCCCTAAAATAATGACATTGTTATTATCATGATTATCGCTATATTAATAAATCTGCTCTAAATGTAATCTCTGTGTGCCACGGTAGCATATAAAAAAAAAAGCAAAGACAGCAAAAACAAACAAACAATATAAACATAATATAATCCAGAGCCCTAAAAAGCCATATTTCAGAAATAAACTATTAAATGAATCTTGGTAATACAGGTTAATTAATTTATATTACAATTGTCACAGCAGAAGGCATCTTGTTATTTTCTCATCATCATCATTTTCCCTTCTCCACCGTCCACCTGATGGAGGTAAAGTCAGTGGTGAAGTCCAGTCAAAAAGCCCCTGAACACACATACACCCACATACACCCGTATAATGCTCCAGCTAAAGTTCAACATCTGCAGCGAGCGGGACCTGCTAACAGGTTATTTTAGCTACAGCTCTGGTGGGAGTGAAAGCAGCAATATTTCAAGATGAACAGATCAGAAGCTCTGACGTGTGAGATTTGGGGATCAACTCCTGAACAGCACAACATTTGTTACTTATATTGTCCAAGACAAATGACAAATGCAATTTGCATTAAGAAAATAAGTAATTGATCTGATCTGTACAATCACCCATGTAGGGCCTCAAACAAAGCAGACTGAAATTGAAATCAATCCAAGCTTTTAACTGCATTACCACAACAACAACAACAACAATAATGTAACCAGGACAAATAGAGACATGGCCCAAGAACTGCAGATGCAAAGTCTTGCGCTGATCTAAAGATGACAACCACCTGCATGCAGACACATGATGCAGCTGGTAGCATTCAGACAAAACACAGTGATACGAGCCAAAATCTGCTTCGACCTCAACACTCACACAAGGTACCAACAGAGTTAGGCTGACTCCGATTGCACAGCTGCACTGTTCCAACATTTTTTCACATATCAGCTCCCTCTGATAATGGGAAACCTGCCTGAGCACAGATACAGAGAAACAGACAAGACAGGAAATCTGTTCATTGATTATCCACAGATTGTGTCTTTGATTTCTGAATGATTGCTGATTATTTGAGTGTTGTATGATGATTGAAGAAAACTCTGGAAACACTGGAAGGATATTAAGACATGAACACTGAAAATAAGTCATTTGTTTTGCTGCATGTGAATCATACAGCCATCAATTAAAATCAAGTTATTCCATTTAGGAGATCTAAACTGATTGTGCGTCGTTACAAAAAACCACCACCGAGGGGAGCTCTTACTACAGAGGTTGAAGCGTCTCAAGGATACTGACTTCTCTTGATTCCCCCTCCATCACTAAAATCGATTTAAAGGTGATTGTCTGTGGTCTCTACAATCTCTTTTATAGTCAATGATTAATAAACCAGCATCAACAACATCTGGATTTGTTTCCTTGTGTGAACACAGCCCTCAACAGGATCCTCTGTTGTGGCTGAAGCAGATAAATCTGCCAAAGCTTTTTCGTCTTTGAGGTAGAAATGGGGCAGGATTGTGTTTGAAGGGTAAATTGGGAGGTAAATTGTGTTGTCATAGCATCTCCTGATTGTCGCTACCACGCAATTAAAAACATGCCAGCAATCCCTGAAGATGCTGCCGTGCACAGAGAGAGAGAGACAAAGAGAGAGAGAGACATATAGAGAGCTACAGTACCTCCGCTATTCAAATGCAAATATCCCACAGGTCAATAGATATACGATAAACATGGATCTGCTCGAGTGGGGGGGTCCGGTGCTTTAGTGTTGCCTCAGGGGCCAAAGGGTCAAGGGGTCAAATCTTAAGAAGAAATGTTGATCATTTAGATTGATTGAATTTAGCTTTCTCTAGCAGCCTCCGCCCCTCCTCCGAAACGAAGCTCTGCAGCCACGACAGGCCTTTATTTGATTGTCAGTCATTACCAGCAACTGTGACATCTGCTCCTCAGGAAGAGGCACAGAGAGAAATGAAGCGAGTCACTGAACTGACCAACAACTAGAACACATCCTTTTATAATATGTGAGATGACTGATGAGTTCCTACTGAATTTCTTTCTTTCTTTCTGTTTGTTCAGGCTGTGACTGAAGGTTAGCATAGCATGTAAACACCAACATTACTGTAGAGACTACACTGCGCTACAAAGACAACACGCAATAGCAGAAAAATCAGTTGGGGTTCAGTTAAAAACCTGAATCAGATTTTCTGACATTTTACATTCTCAAAGTAATTATAACATTGTCTAATGTATGCTATTTAAGGGGGCAGAAGAACTGCATGGGAAATTGATAAAAACTATTAAAAAAGAGGATAATTTACTCATATTTTGTGGTTTTGTGGAATTAAAAATTCATATTTATTAAGTTTTTGTGTGTAACATAAATTAGATGAAAGCTAAATATTTTATCATCAGGGAGAAATCATGCGATTTCATTGCTTAAACTTTGTTTGAATCACAAATTCAAAATGTATTTTGTACAGATTAATTTACTAAACTATTTGATTAATACAAATGTACAGAGGGGCTGTAGTAAAACTTTTGTAGCTTCTATGTTTTTCATTATATTATCACATTTCAGGATATTTATGTACACTGCATAATTATTTGAATAATGGAAAGCATTTCCATTGTAGAACTGACCACTGTAAGGAATCTACACTGAGAGTCTTATCAATATTTCTAGCAGGGTTGTGAATCATTTGAATCACAACTGCATAAAATCTTTCAGATTTTAAAAGGCAAAATGGTTGCGGACTGATTGATGTGTGAGTTGTTCACAAATAAGGAACCAGGTTTCTATCAAATCTATGTAAAGCAGTAACCCTGCACAAACTGGACTTTCAGTTCTGCAAAATACCCAAAATGATTTCATTGTTTAAAATAATCTGCTGTCAAAGAGTTACCAGTTTCAAATAAGCATCTGGCTGATATCCAGAGAGAACATACAGAGGTGGGTGAGGAGGAAACTTTTATCTCAGTTTCCTGCTCGGCGTAGATATGATCATGCATCAAACTAGTTTCATGACGTCTGTCTGGCCAGCTGATTTTCAATTCATTCGCAGTAACTGTAACTCAGTCGCCTGAACAAGAACACACAGTGTCAGTGATGTGAAGCAAATGAAACCAGGCCCAGTGTTCAGTTGCAGCAGCAGTTTCAAACATGCAGGTGCAGTTAAAGTTGTAGCACCTTTAAGAGCTGCGGTTAAGGCTGCATTAATCTCAATGGGATTCACAATGAATAACTAACTGCACGATTAATAATTAACATAAGTGTTGGGGCTGAAGAATCATCTCACCACAAAGTCCACTTTTTCAGTTTGTCTGGGGCTTTCAACTGTTTCTCATGATCCTGTTCATTGGTCAAATAATTAACATTAAGGGTTAGTGTGAAGCAATGATTTTCCGCGTTTATCCTTGTATTGTGTCTACCTGAGGGAAATGTTCTGCCTCTAATGATAAGTTATTTTAACTGAGATGTTGTATAAATGTAAAATACTCACAAATACAACAGCAACTACACAAACTGCTGCTGTTGAGTCTTTCCCTGCAGGTAGTGTCCATCTGCACATCACGACTGTTGCTGCTATAATATTTCTTGCCTGTAGGTGGCTGTAGGTAGGCTGGCATGCATTGAGCTGGTCTTTGAGTAAGTTAGCTGATAAGTTTTGTTAGCATCTTTGAATCTATAATGAAAAGATGATGACTAGTCAAAGATTCTGTCATTATTTTGTCACCTCAGTAAACTTTCTCTGAAAAACTATGAAACACTGAGGCTCTGTGTTTCTTTAAGATGTAACACGACCGATGAGAAGCTGTTTCTGTAAAACATTTGTTTTTGAATACAACTTAAGCTCTGATTTAATTTTTTCTCTTCACTGTGTTTGATGACTGTGTTTCTGAATGGGAGTTGTTGGTTATTTGAGTATAAAGAGAACTTTCCAGAACTGACCAGTGTTTGTGCAGCAGCTGGTGGTGATTTCCCAGCGAGAGCCACGACCAGAATCAAAGCGTTGACCGCCATCTGGTGATATTTGACTGAACCAGTAAAACGTGATTGGATGGAGGTACTGTTCGCTCTCTGGTTATCTCATGCTGCGTTAAGGCCTCAGAACAGAACCCACATACAAAGCCTGATTTACTTCCTAACGTCGGTAGGAATGAGGCTGCTTTGCATCAGGGGTCGTGGGTGGGGTTGAGTAACAATCTTTAACAGCCAACAGTCCAGTGAAGTAACACGGGTTAAAGTTCAAAAAGCTAAATGATTGATCCACTTCAAAATCTACTTGTGAGGTGACACGGGTCTTCACGGTGGCAGATTTAACCTTTTATAAATCTAACTGCAGCGAGTGTTTATGCAAACACTAAGACACAAGCGAGTGCTCAGCTGCAGCTATGATTATCTCTGATCATGTATTATCAAAAGCCCCAATTAAGCAAAATCTCAACAAAAAAACAGTCAGAGGATCACAAGACATTCTCTGTGTTATCCTTAACGGATGGCGAGGCAGTCTCAAGAGGACCCTGCCCTTATCACAGCACAGGATAAGAAGCACTTGGATCAGAATAAACACTAAGTCATGCAAAAACACAAAGCTAAAACTAAAAAGCGAAAGCACTGATGATACATCTATGATACAAGAAAAACAAAATAACATCACTTATGAGCCGAAATAATCGTCAGGATATTTTTTCCTGAAGCTCAGATTATGTCTTCTGACACCTGATTATCTGGTGTGAGTGTCTCCACAATAACAAGGATGAAGCGGATGCTCAAATCTTTTAAATCCTAGACAGGAAATCAAGAGTTGTCCTGCACGCTGACGGACCTTTATCTACAAACACATGCATGCATCTGACCTTAAGACAATCACTCAACTAGAAGGCCAAGTCATAAAAAAGATAAAAACAGATCTTTCCACAGGGAAAGATGTTGAAAAGCATTACTCTGTCAAGTGTCATAGTAGACTGCGGGATATTATACAAAGCAATGAGCAAGGGGGTGGGGTGGGGGTGGGAGGGGAGTTCACCTGAGAACAATGGAAAACGTGATATTCACAAAAAACATCTGAACCCTGAACGGCACCAGGAAGAATTGGTGTGGACGCCGCCCGGGCTCAGAAAGTCCAGCGTGTAACGAAAGGCTTCAGTTCATTTTCCCACCTGCTCAACAGACCTTATTTGTACAAACAGCCACTTTGAACATATACCTGCATACAGCCGCTTGACAATATACCTGCATGATTGGCATAGATATGTATAGAACTGGCCTTATGTCAACAAACAGGTGAGGGGGGTGGGTTTAGATATCGTGCTGTTTCAGGAAGAGCAACCACAACAACTGCATGAATTCAGTAAGGGCCATCAGCCACGTAGCATTCCCGCTAACTAGCCACTGCATTAATTCTCTTGTCGTAATCAATAATGGACCAAATATATTCAAAAGTCGACCAATATCCTTGCAGATTCTTATGATTGAGGTGTTTTTAAATTTGCTTTTCCCTGGAGAATCTGTGGCATAGATATGACGTGTGTCTCTACACAACACAAGTGCACCAGACGTGCTCTTCCACATAGATATCCAAACTGGCTGCCATGTGAATAAGGTTATAAGGTTTTACACAAAATGAGGTCACAGCGGTACATTGTTATAGGCCCTGAAGAAACAACATATACCTTTAAAGCTTTTCTGATTAAAAATAGAAGATATTCATATTTTTTTTTATATAGAATTCTAAATATATATACTTTTTTTTTCCTGCAGTGAGAGAATTGTTAAGATTTAAATGATAAACACAATAGAGAATAACAATAATGATAATAATGACAATGAAAAGATAAAATTAAATAAAAAAAATCTCTCCCCTAGAGGATCAAACATTACTGTCAGTCAGTAGCTGTGTTTGTGTGTGTAAACAGTGCATTGCCCTTCCTGGTTATTACCTTCTCTTTTGTTCTCCGATAATCTGTACATTTATGCAGAAATAAATAATTCACAAGTTGTGCATTGCTTAGCATATACTGACTCTCAGTGGGGATAATTTTCTTTCAAAATTACTTTGGCTACGAAGAACAAAAGAGGTGAGTTTGTGAGAGAAAACCTGAGATAGTGTACTTCAAGTGATCCGAGTTTCAGTTGGTGTCTTGTGTACGGTGTATGGGTCTTCTCTTTTTTGGCATAGATGATGTAGAAAATGAGGTTGGTTTTTGGCTTTACTTAGCGTGGTAATTTTAAAAAAAAGAGTAGAGGGGAAAGGCTGAGGGGGGTTTGTTAAGACAACGGGTTGTTGGACTTTGAGGTAGGTGTGTTCTGCTGCTGCTGAGGGCCGATGGCGGACAATCCAGCTCCAGATGAGGCTGAGCCTGCTGCCTGAGCAAAAAGAACGCCTAGAACGGAAAGGACACAAGCAGCACAGAAATTAAAGTTAGAATACAGAGGGATCCAAATTAATGTCATATCTCCTGAAAAAGAAGCTTGAGCTGCTTTCACACATGAACTCGGGAAAATGTCCAGAACATTGCGTCTGGACATTTTCCTGAAATTGCCTTTTAAATACAAATGACTGATCAACTTCAGAATTAGTCTGCAACTCTACATTTCTTAATTCTTTAAGCAAAAATTATTTGGTTCCAGCTTCTCAACTGTGAGGATGTGCTGTTTTTATGTTTGTGACTGTTACTGCACATAGACACGGATGTTGGCCCTTATCACTAAGAGCTCTAGAGTCTCTTTGTCTTCCCCAGTTGACACACAGTACATTCGAAACATTTCAGGAGAATGTCCAGAGTTCAGTGAAACTAGCTCGGAACGCTTGAAAGTAACTGCACGTGACTGTTGTTCAACAAGAAGCTGTTCATTTACTTATCATTGGTTTATCTGTAATCCCTGAGCAGTTGTTACAAAGTCACCCTTAAAAAAAAGTCACATCCTGTGACAGGACAGCGACACTCACCAGTGTACACCACTCCGTTCAGCTCCACTGACATGCTGATGCTGCTCGTGCCATTTGTGGTGAGGTTCAGGGCTGAGTCCTGCCTGCTCTCTGTTAGAGAGACAAACAGAAAGTAGAGCTGACCAATCTTTTTACTCACACTAGTTTTCTTTCATATAAACATTGTGCAAATTGCCTTTTTAACAATTTTCCAAAGTTGACTCTTCCATTAATTTATCATATAAATTCCACACAATTCTCTCTCAGACAATCCACTTGTGTGTGAATTTTGCTGAAACGTCACCTGGATAATCAGTGATGAAGAAACAGTTTGCATGTTCAATCAGATAGAGATAAGATCAAAGTGCACAGCTGCATTAGAGAATCCCCACGCAGAAAAACACACACATTTTCAGTATGAGTTTGTGCATGAATGGCACTTCTATGAACTAAACAGGTCAACCTATAGGCCCGCTATAAGTTACTTCCTGCTGGTGTGGTTTGTAGCAGGATTACAAGAAAGTTTCAAGATACTAGCTGCCAGGAAGAGGGAGAATTTGTCAAATTCAGCTCATATAAACTCTGGAGGATAATGATGAAATATAAAATCCACAATGATGCTCACAGCAGACATGATGTAGTAAAACTAGTGTGTACAGTATTTTCTTAGCTGGTTGAGATCCCTAATAAATGACCCTCAACATAAGAGCATAGTGGAAAATACCACAGCACAGAAACTGATCTGATAAAGGTTGTAAATAATCCAAGAGCAGATTTTTGTTCATCATAAGAAGGAAGAACATATTCGGTGTTGATCCTTCATTTGATATGAGAACATGAAAATCGAATGTAGTTGTTTTGTTCTCCTCGTATTAGCTGATTGTAAAACTCCCCAGTGTGTTCAGTACCTTGGTTATTGATTCGGATGTTCATGGGTATCTGGGCAGTCATGGCCAGAAGGTTGTGTTGCAGCGCTCTCTGCAGAAGTCGGTGGTGATCCTCAGGCGGCAGCGCCATCTTCTTCTCCGGAGGCTCGCCAGCCTCCAGCTTGTCCCTCAGATGCTCCAGAGCTGCCACCTGAGCAGCCATTGCTGCCTGAGCTGCCGCTGCCTGCACAGCAGTCATCGAGTGACCAGCCAAGGCCCCCACTGGCAAACGAGACAAACCGACCCCTGGCAGCAGGTGGCCTCCATCTTCTTTTGGTCAGAGAGCACAGGGAGGGAAAGAAGGTGGAACTGAGTATGATGGGATATCAATATAAATTGTGTTCTTCTCTGGCGACTATGACAGAAAAACTGTTCATCTAAGATGCACATGATGTTAGTGTTGTATCACAGTTTAAGATCTGACAGCAATTCCATTTATTCATTCATATTAATATGCAGAAATTAATATTTTAGCCTCCTCCTGAAAAATACTGTTAACTAGGGGTTTGTGGTTTAGCTTGTTGAGGCAATAATAATATTGGACAGGTGCTGGTCATGTGATTGAAGTTAGGTGCGCTGGAAACCCACCCAGCATGCACTGAGGCAATCGTTTCGTGCCACATTTTATGTGTTCCTTTATTTTTATGGGTGTTATTATGTTGTGCTCTACGATTTCTACCCTTTGAACCCTGTTACATCAGTTATCACCAGTCAGGGTCGTTAGATCACAAGTGATGGTGCATGAATGGAGAAGATCTCACTGATGGACATGTAAGATTTACAGTGATATAAAGAAGAGTGAATAAACATAATTCTGCTATGAAAACTTCACTTCATAATTTTTTTTAAAGATCAATTTGTCTTTTCTTACAGAATCTCAAATAATATTCAGATTTGTTTTTAGTGGAAAAACGTATATTTTACTTATCACTTCATCACGTTTGAGAATAGAAAATCGGATACAATTTATGTCTAAATCAGAATTTTATCAAAATTCTTTCCTTGTATCTCCAGAAAAACGAGACATTTGAATCTGAAAAAATAACGGCTAACTGTGCATGAGCCGGTACATTTGCAGGATTGGGCTTCAGGTCTTGTTCATATGACAACAGCACCAAATTCCAGACTTCTGGACCCTGAACATCTCCGTTAACCATGAATAAAGAACATGGCCCTGGTGGGTTTTATCATTAACACAATATTCAACTGTAATGTTGAGGACAATCCATCTACTCGTTGTATTTGTCATTTCTGGACTATGTGTTTGACGTTTTGTAAAAACAAATCAAAATCTTCAGCCATTAAAACTTCTGACCAACATGACCCAGCTAATATAACAATTATCAGCAGTATAATAAACAAATGGCACCTTTCTTGATCTTCTGGATAGGCGTCAGTGAGGCGCCATTGGTGCCCATAGTCAGGCCCACACTGGACGTCGGGAGCTTCGGCGAGGAAAGCATGGTGGGCGTCCCGTTGGGCGAGTAGGTGAAGAGGGAGCTTCCAAAGCTCTGTCGTCGCCCCTCCCGCCGATTGCTGTCAATGGCTGCCTGGAGCTCATTGGGGTTGCTCAGACCCCTCTTATCACATTCATACGGGTACAGGTACTTCATGTATCTGAGAGGAACACAATGGATTTATTCACACAGTGATGACCTGAGCTCAGTCTATGAAACTTTGAATACAACTTTTTGAGAGTGGAGTTAGATATGGACAGTGAAACCTGACAGCTCCTTATCATGAAATCAATTGATTAGCTTTGTATGACTGGTGTGTGAGGATGTGTGTGAATGTGTGTGTACTGACTGTGTGCGGAGGGTGAAGGCTGCACTGGTGATTGAGGTAGGCAGGTTGAGTCCCTTGGTGATTTCCCTCCACAGCTTCTTGTTGATCACCTCCACCAGGCCGCCCTTCTCTGTCACCAGCCTGTAGAGCATGTGGAGATCCAGGACCTGTTTGGCCATGATGGGAATACGATTCACTGGCGTTCCTAAAACAACACACACACACAAGCACACAGATGGGAAACGTCAACAGAGATATAAAAAAACACATTATGTTATAACATGAGACTGCACTCTTGCATGGACAGTGGCAGCAGAGACAAAAGACAAGTAGAATGTTGAATTAGATTAATCAATATTCCGCTGACCAATGGATGGATTGTAAATAACTGAAACCCTTCACAGACATGTGCCATCAACACTGAATGTAATAAAGCATGTCTGTTTGTTTAATAGCTGGTAGGTTTTAAAACTCTTTTTATTGACAAAGCAGATCTCTGCATGAATTGTATCATTTAAATCACAAGTTAATTTTCTTATCTGTGCTGTAACATCGTCGATAATCATATTCATAGAATGAGATCATATCTGCAGTTATTTTTTCCGATATGAAAACTTTTATTTTACAGATTAAACAATGCAGAAAAGATGTGCATTCATGTTTACATAAAAAATCTATATTATTTTCAACTTCTATCTATTTGGTTGCATTGGTATATTTTCTTTTAATTTATAGTTGTTTGGAATGACAATTTTTGGTTGAACTGTTAAATACCAAGCGTCGACTATATAGCTTTGTTATAAGGTTTTAATAATGTTAACTTAGGAAACAATATATATTGGCTGATATGTCAATATTGGACATTTCTTACTCCCTAAAATCTGTATTTGCATCGGCCCCCAAAATCAGTATCAGTCAGGCTTTAATTTTAACTTTATATTATCTTTCAATTTTTACAAATGTAATAAAATATTGTTTAAATATGGTTTTTCCGACTATGTTCTAACCAGTATTTGTCTAACATGACAAAACCTGACCGGGCTGGTTTCTTGTCTTTAAAATGGGGGTGATATGAGTGCAGATAAATAAAATTCTATAAACTGTAATATGTAATAAAACACCTTAGGACAACATCAGTCTGTACTTACAGTTTTATATTAATCCATGACAAATTATTTTCCCAGCAGAGAAAAATTAAGCTGTTAATACTGTGATCATCATATTTCATGACTTCAAATAATGAGTGATCCCACATACAGTCCTCGGGCCCCACATGTAACATAAAGTATGATTATTCCTTCATTTGCCTTTTAAGGAGCAATGCATTTATGAATATGGCCTGCAGATGGCGCTCTCAGATTCTCACAGAGGACTTGGGAGACCCGCCCATTGTTGGTGGCTCTGACAGTGAAAACATCTAGTGCTGGTTTTTCAGTTGTGAGCACATGCCTGTTGTCTCACGCCTTCTGATCTGATTACATCAGCCATGACTCCCCTAACTCTTCTTGGGATTTATGAGAGAATCAGCTGGAATGAGCTACTGGCCATTAATGTACCAAATACACGAAAATACAACGTTACACAATCCACGTCTCCCTAAGTGTGACAATAAGCATGCAGTTTTGGGGTTGTGTGTGTGTGTGTGTGTGTGTCATCAGTGTGAAGATCCTGCACAGCGGCTGAGTCAGAGTTTCTGTGTGTGTGTTTGTGTGTGTGTGTGTGTGTGTGTGTGTGTGTGTGTGTGTGTGTGAATGTGGTAAAAGAAGTATGGGCAGGGCCATATGGACATGCAACAGGAAGGGTGGGTAAACCAATCCCATTCCCAGGCATTAATATGATGTGTTCCCTCTAGTTATAGCCTGAGAACGACAAGGGGCTGCAAGACCATAAAGCAATCATCTCCAAAATGAATGAAGACCCCCACCCCTCTGTGTGTAATATGAGAAGACAGCAGTGTGTCGTATGTCAGGGAGAGAGGGGGGGAGATCATCCTCTCTATATCCAAGTATTAAAAGCCTCTATATGACACAATGAGGAGATATAATATGACACGATAGGAAACTGAATGGAAAGAGGAAGAAGTGTTCATGGAAGTAAAAACATACATGCTCAGTTACAAACCTCTTTTTTGCATGAAGCTGAAGAGGTCATCCAGGAACTCCTTTCTCTTTGGGTCTCCGTCCAGTTCATACAGCTGCGAAGTAGAAGAGGAGGGAAACTCATGACGACAAGTGATGTTTTCATGTCTACCATGTTTGAGATCTGACATTGGAAAACCAAAACCAGCACAGCTCTCACATGTGCTATGACATCAAGATGCTCACACTAAATATAATAATAAGATCTGGCCACTTTTAAATGGACAGAGACCAAACAGCTGCCTCCTTCTGATCACCAGAGGATGACCGAAGGGGAAATAGAGAAATGCAGTGGACCAGTCTGGCCTGATGAGAACCTGATGTGGGTCCAGCTGCTAGCAGGGCCCCAGGATCTGGAAAGTTCAGTGAAAGTTAGCAGTAAAAATTGGGGCACCCACTCGGGGGAGTACAGTGAGACCATTGAGCCCATGGTTTTTTTTCCAGCCCAGTTTGCCAGTGTGATAGTGAAATCTCTCCTTCGATGCATTTCTAATGCGTCACACACTTCGATCTAACAGTTACTTGTGCGCTGCATAAAGGTTTTACCAAGTACACCTCATCCATTTGAGGTCGTGCAGTTTCACCATGTGTTATAAAAAATGGGAGGTTGTGAAACACAATGTACCTGAGCGAGCATCAAACCAAACCACAGAGTATCGAACCAAGACAACTGACACAACAGCCCACAGCGAGCAAGCAGGCCATTACTAACCCACCCACACCCATACACACCCCCCCCACACACACACACTGACTGAAAGTCAAACAGGACGTCTAGTAGAAGAAACTATATCTTCATTTGACATTTGGGATTTGCATACAGGGATTATTCCTTAGTCTCGAAACACTGAAGTTACTCTGCCACCTCATCTATGAAAGAGACTGATACGATGTTCTCCGCCCACCTACAGGATGAGTTGACAGAAAAAACAGTAGAAGATTTCTGTATTTACTTTAGGCGCCAGCTCAAAGCAAATTAAAATGAAAGGCTCCTCCAGATGAAGTTTGGTGACAGTCATGGTTTCTAACGACCAACAGACTGTCCCTCATTGTGGCATTCAGCCCTCATTAGTGATGCCAAGCTGCTATAAGATCTTATTATCTAGTGGGTGGGGACTGTTAAACTAAAGAGGGSKGRGGKGGRSGGGRKGGKGGGGGGGGGGGGGCGTCAGTAACGTACAGGACTGTTAGAGGCAAGGGGGAGTTTTAATTACAGGATGCATGCGTTTCGTGAAGTGCCGCACCATAAATCCCGGAAATTACCCCTCCCAACTCCCATCCCCCAATGTTGCTTTATTCCCCCTCTATCCCTTTCTGTCCTAAACATACAAACATCTCCTCTGGTGGGTGCGCTATCAACTGAGGTCCAATGCTCCAAGTTATTTCCAGAAGTGTGACTGCACCTTTACAGAGTCGACTGTGTTAACACACTCTCAGTGTCTGTCTTACGAATGCATTTACAACTGGAGGAATCATTCAGTATTCTCTGTTAAGTTTTTTTAATCAGTGAACATGCAACAACAATCTAAATTGGTTTCCATCATTTTGTTTTACTGTAAAAGGTTTATTGCTACATCTCATATCATCATATCAAAGTGTCTGTATTTAGGATTTTGTCCAGGTTTTTGTGAACAATATAATTTGTAGCCTAAACAGCCTAATACAATCGAACAATTTGGCTGACTGGTCTAATATTTAATTTCATCACTCCGGTATTTCTATGTAATTCCAGCTCAAGGAAATTTGAGCCACAGAGGACGACAAATAATGGTACAATTATTTAACTTCGCCAGAAAGACTTTGATTCTACTCCCCAAGGGTTTGAAGCAAAGACATATATCAAATTAATTATCTGTAAATAAAGATGGATGTCGTTGTCTCCACTTCATCCCACTAATCAGAAATAGAGCTAAAATATCCTGGATACGAACGCTGCCCTGAAGACATAATTTGAGCAGCAGCGATCGGGGGATGGAGCCACAGTAGCGAGGTCACACTAATACACAAAGATGAGTTGATCAGCTGTCAATCATGACATTTCATGCTGTTTTCATGGAATCAATTAACCAATTAAAACCAAACATACCAAAATTGAACACTTGAACAAACATAAGTGTGATAAGAACTACTTCACTAAAATGACAGAAACCTTCTGTAATTTAGAAATGTATATGACGTGTACTATGACTTAGTTTAGTCTATGTTCCATCTGCTAACTTGGAGGAGGTGGCTTTTATGACGTGTTCTGCTTTGGATTCACTTTGGGGGAGCAATCATGTCGTCATTCTTCATATACAGTCTGTGGTTTGAAACCTAAAGAAGGTATGGAGTTCTCCCTTCTGCCATACAGAAGTCAGGCAGTCTTCACATCAAACAAGCAGGTGCCATTTCAATTGTTGCTGTTTTCGGCGTTGACAGGAAATGCATAATGTGACTTATGGTAAAGAGGATGGTTTTCCAGTTCGGTTGTTGTTTCTGTGTTATCTCCGCCTCCAACCGTTGCAGTGAGGTCTTGAAGGTGCAGCTGCAGGTAACCTGTACGCTGCGGCTATTTGCTAATGCTACATTCATTGTTTACTTCTGAGTGTTTTTTTATGTCTTCAGACGCATGTTGGGGGCAACCAAATAGGCAAAGATGGAAAGAAAAAATTTGAATCCATTTTTGATTTAGAATCAAAATAATGATGTAAACTATATCTGCGAGAGATTATTATGATATATGTAATAATATTGAACTTTTTATTACGATTTGTTGGCATTTTTTAGATCAAAAAACTTGATTGAGAACATTAACAGCAGACTATTTGATGGTGAAAATAATAGTTGCAGCTCTGAGAGAGAAAAGTGGCTGAAAACCACTCAACACAGTCATGGAAAGAGGTGAAATCATCAAAGTGGGAGGCCTGTTTGACTAAAGCCACCGACACCACAAGAGGCAGACAATCAGGATCCTGTCCAACCGGCAAGACCACTGCCCTGCCCACCCGCCCATGAAATCCTTCCTCTCATGAAATCCTTTCTCGCTGTCTGTCTGTCTTTATCTATTTCTCCCTTCATTGTTTTCCTCCACACAATTGTCTCTTTTACACTCTCTCCATTTGTCCCTCAACTTCTATCAGATTGTCTCTTTGTCTTTTTTCTCTTGCCCTCCCTCAGCTCAATGTATATAACCCTTATATGCACACATTACAACTCCCCTGCCACCACCCCCAACACACGCACACACACATTACACACAGACCTTATCAGGCTGAGGTGGGTGTGGTTGTTGGAGGCTCATATACGTTTTCATGTCGTTAGTATGTACGCTGGGGCCCCTCTGTTATTCAGATAAACAAGAAACAAGATAAACAACTAGAAACTGGGCCAACTAGTATGGGAGCCTATTCCCACCCCTGCAACAAAAAGAAGACTGCCAAGCTGATCAGAAGGCAGTATGTCTGGATCCTTTATAAATAAGCTGCTGGGTTTTCAAAATTTAACAAATAAAAGAGGAATAGCTGCAGATTATACGACTTGGTGAAGATTAAGTTTGATCTTGAGGAAGCTTTAAAGAGATCACTTTGTTCTGGTGTCTGACTGAAGTTACAACATGCTGTTTTAAGCATAAAAACTTCAGAGCCAAATTTGAGCTTAAGTATTTAAGGTTTGTTGTCTGATCATTTCTCACTGTGTCTGTAGGTCAGCGACAGTCTGTCTGCAGATAAATTATACACAGGAAACAAAGCAGTTTTGAGTGGAAAATCATCAGTGACCAAAGAGCAGCCTGTTGCTGCAGCTCCACAGCCATCGAAGCAGTGGTGGTGTTAAACTGTATTTGTGTGTGTGTGTGTGAAAGAGAGGGGGGGAGGGGTTCGCTCCACTGTTAATGCAAATAGGAGTTAGTGAGCCAGTGGCAGACGAGTGTCACATAGCAGATAATAGAGGCTTTGCAACTGAAAACCAAAACTGAGAGGAGGCAGGGGTATCGTCTGCATGTTCCCTTACACCTGCCAATCACCTCGATCACTTGAGGTGAAGCCGATACAGACCCACACACTAGAGGTCAAAGTATTAAAAATGTGCTTTTATTTCATGTGCAAAATTCAATTGTAGGATTGGACAAGTCCTCATTGGTTTATCCTTCTGAATGTTTGACCTAAATCCTGTTGTTCTTCAAATAATTTTTCAGGTAGAGCCGACCTCTCAGCGAAAGTGTGACACAGCTGCGTATATATGTACCTGTGTACTTGTGCATGTATGTGTACTGGTACATCTAACACTAACACCTGGCATCAAATTGTGTCTGAGTGATTGAAATGTAGTTGGATATAGAGCTTAAACACATAAACGTTAATGTGTACCAAAATCACTCTGAAGAGTGTGATCTGATTGGCTGTATTGTGACCACATTCGCCAATGTGAATGCAAATGTTTTGCCAGTTCACGTGACAACTAAGTGGGCTGAAAAAGTATGATTGATCCAAACCAGCGAGGTTGCAGCAACTAGCTGCTGTTAGTCCTCATGTTTTTGTGGATAGAGTGAAATGGAGACTTGAAAAGCAAGTGTACACAGTAGCTGTGTACCAATAAGGGGCCACATCTATGATTGAGCAACATGTAAGCACATATTTAGTTTGGGGGGAATCCCCTTCATACAGACTAAAGACGAGCCTCAACTCCTTTATGCTATATATAAGACAGTCTGGTGTGAATCTGTCTATGTCTGCCTTGTTGAAATGAGTGGATATGTTTGGTTAAGTTTTTACAGGTAGCTACAATACAGATCCAAGTTGAGTGATTACAACACTTTTAAAGAATGTGGTAACCTTTGTTATCCTCCCCTTTTGAATAGAGTGTGTTTAATTTAAGTCTCCATGTTATTTGTCCTTCGGCTGTAGACAGCAGAAACCAAGTTACACCGAAACTAAATCCCCTCTAATCCAATGCTGAAGGACCAGTTTCACAACTTCATATTAATCTGTGTCCCTGAGTTATTTCTTCTCATGAAAGAGATTAGTATGAACGTGTTTTCTTTATATCCTCCTGTCGGACTCGAATGGAAACATGCAGCTGT